ACATACATACACACATACATACACAACACATACATACACACATACATTGTGTTACATACATACATACACACACACAGATGGGCAGGCGGACGGACGGACCGACGGTTGAAAGGACCGACAGGCTGACAGACATGCAGAGATTGGAAGGATATGGAAGGATCATTAGGATCATCACTTGTCAACGTTGGCCGGCTGCAGTTCTGCTTGCTCTTAGCAGACCCTTAACGTAGTTGCTGCTCAATTGAGCTGCGAGCCTGGGCACTATGAAGCAGGCTCACACCTGAGAAGCGCGTTTCAAACTGACTGATACAAATCTGTTTTTTTGCCTACACCAGGTGCTTGCTGCTGCCGCTGTGGTGTTCTCTTCTCAGCCTGTTCTCGCACTGAAGGCAACTGTACCAACAGAGTTCCAGTTCCTTAAAAAGATCGCCTTTTTAACTTTTTCAACTTCGCCGTGCTTCGCCGACTTCTGGTTGCTGTGGATGTACTTGCCTTCTGCTCAGCGGCAAGCACGTGCGATGGCAATCCTGGTGCAGGTGCCAGCCAGCCTTGTTGATGAAGGTGAAGGTGATTGACGCTTGGATGCCTTAAGCCATGCAAAGTGATCCATGATGTTTTCCAAGGGTTTAGAACGCCGTTCCTGAGCAGGTTTTGCTCATGCCTGCGGTACGGGCTACATTCCTAAGTTCAACCATCACACTCTGAAGGGCGACTCAGACATGGAGTGCTGCCAACAGACTTGCGAGTTGTTCACATGCACTGGGAACTTCGTGCACAACTCAGTTGGTGCTACTTGAACGTTGCATGAGGCAGATCCAAAAGCATCCGAAAGCGTTTGGAACTCTAAACATTGACACGCAGTGACATCCAGAAACCAAGGTGGCAAATCAAGCTTACAAGCGCAACGTTGGCAAAACCAACGAGCAGTGCTGTGACCAGACCTGTGCCGCAGTTAAATGCCCAGTGGGAAAGAAGGCGGGAATTCGTATTTGGCCTTCCACTTACACATCGCAATGCTTCGTCCTTGCCTCTGAACGGCTGCAAGGTGCCGATCGATCTCAGAGAATCTGCGGGCAAGACTGCCGAGGCAATCGTTTTTGCGCACAATGACTCGCCCATGGCACAGTGACAACTTGTTATGTTGAACCCAATTCTGCCACCATGAGTGGACTCTGTGACTCAATATTGCCGAGGAATGCTGCAAAGATACCTGCAAAGATGTGCAATGTGCACCATTCACTGTGCCTATAGGGCCAGCCTTGCATGTTTGATGCTAACACACTAGTGACCATAGTGAGAGCAGGTGGAGAATACTTTGTCGCACATATACATATACAGTATACACATATAACGTATACGATGATATATATATATGCAACAATTCATTGCTACTGGTGAGAAAAAAACGTGCCAGGGCAAACAAGAATGAAGTATACCCCGACGGAGATGCTCAGAGCTTTTGCTGTGAGCCAACCTGTCAAGCCTACACATGTGATATCATGAAGGGTCTCACCTTGGACATCGCCCCTTGGTTTCAGTTTGTTTGTGTAGTCACCTGGAGATCAGTAGCTTTATACAATTTGCTTGAAGGTTACTGTAGTTATAATGTCTTTCTGCTGGCAGCACACTTGGCAGAGGCCAAAGCGCACCTGACACGTGTAAGTGATGAGACCTGCTGCACTGCAACCTGCTCAAGTGTTGTTTGCCCTACAGGGTATAAGAACCTTGGATGGAACTGTGCATTGAGTGCCAGAGAAGTGGTACAACTTGGCAACACAGAAGGAACAAGGATATTGGTTGGTTGGGTCGGTCACCTGTAAGGACCCACCCTGCAAAGGTGAACATGGATGCCAGGAAAACAGCTCCTTGGTGACACAGATCATTTGCTTCAACAAGATTTTGCGCTTGGCTGTGCTATTTATCCCACCGCGCCATCCCCCAATCTTTTCTGACAAAGGAGTGCTGTGAGCCGCTTTGCAGCTCTCATGTGTGCGGTGCCGGCTGGGTGACTGACATTTCCAAGGCCGGCAGATGATTATATCATATACGCGTATGTAATCATGTGCGTGCTTTGATTCGCCATCACTGGCAGCATGCAGCTGCATGCCTCCTCCAGTTTTTGCGTGTTTAGCTCCTTACCTAGCAGCTGGACTTTCCTTTCTTGGGAGGCTGCTGCTGTGGGAAACACCGACGAGGCCACAGCAATTGTAGGAATTCGCCTTGATTGTGTTGGAAGTGCATTTGGCAGGTTTGCTGCCACCGGACCTGTGAGATCTTTCAGTGTTCGGCGGGTTGGGCCAAAAACCCCGCGGCCAGCACAAATATTGGATTCTTAGTTGCAATTTGGCAATTCTTTTTTGCTTCCACATGCTTCAACTTGAGGGTAGGTTGTCGTTTGAATCAAGCAAGCTTGGGGCCGAGGTGTTGATGACTTAACCTGCTGCCTGCCCGAGTGTATCCAGTACCAGCCAAAATGCACCGGGGACTTTGCCCCCAACCCTGATGCAAATAAGACGGTGGGACAAACTGCAGATGTTTGCTGCAAAAAGTCCTGCTCTTTGTACCCATGCTCCACGGGCACCGTGAATATTCCCGATGCAAAGAGTTGCCTGGCTTATAACGCAAGGGTGAGGATGCCATTTTTGTCAAGTAGTATACGCCTAGATTGTGTCAAAAATGAAACAGAAACATGATTTTGTTTTGTTCTGCTTCTGTAGGCACCTATCTAAGGTGTTGTGGCCGCGACGGATGATGCTTGCTGTGAAGACTTCAGGTGCCCTACCTTCCGCAAGAAGACTGAGGTGAAGGATGGCTGCAATCAGCTCAGCAAGGACCGGTACCCCAAGAATTTGAGGGTCAAACTCTCAAAAGGATTTGGATGGCAGAGGCTTTAAGATTCACCTATAGTTCCGACAACTGAGAACGTCTATATGTATGCTGTATGTGTTGACTTGGTTGAAGGACGCGTGCGAGAAGAACTATGTGAAGCTGACTCTTTCAGCACTAATATGCACCTGTGCTGTGTGCAAAGGTGTGCTAGCTGTTTTGGACCTTGTTTACCCTTCAGTCCTACTATTCCCGTCCCCACCCGTTGATGCCGGACCATGCGCGCGAAACACTAATTGCGAGAGTGTGCCATGACCATCTGAGGAAGAACACTCATACCAACAAGACTGACACCTTGGCATGTAAGTGGACTATGGGCTTTTGCCAGGTTCATGACCTTGAGCCAATCAGCTGCGCAGAATAGGGCTATAGCAGACTCTAGGGCAGTTGAAGCCTTCAAAGGCTTACATCTGGGCACTGAAAGAAAGGCTCGGCCATTGGCCCTGGCCCAATCCAGAACATTTGGGCACCAGAAAATGAGAGCGCAGCTGCATCCTGATACGCTGCAGAAGCAGAGACCAATGCCCAAAACACGTCAGAGTTTCAGAACAATCTGCTCAATATAGTGTATATAATCCTTTTAGACAGGTAAATGAACATGTTGTGGATGCATGAAAGGTTTCTTTAAGGGCTTTAGCCAGCAATCAAATCAGACCAGTTCATTGAGGCCACGAGCGTGGAGAGAGCACGCCGGAGGATAGAGTCAAGATCCTCACTTCTGGTCCAATACAGAACGCGAGATGTGAGATGATTTGCTTGCTGTGCGCACATTCTTTGCGATTCTGGTTTGACGCACATTCTCGATATTTGGATTGCCGCACCGAACCGTTGTGTTTCCAGGATGTTCCAGCAGCTGTCGGTCTGGAGCTGCCAAACGAAGAGGCCGTAGCTGCACTGTCGGGCCCTTACCAGCAAGGCAGCAGCTGCCTTAGTCAGTAGCCCTTCAATCAAACAGTTTCTGGACCGTGGTTTCCTCCCCTCAGCCATTTGATCTTCTTAACAGGATTTAACAATAGGCTAAGCACTGGACTAGAAGAAAGCCTTGGAGAGCAAACAACTCCTTTGAATGTACATAGACACTTTAAATAGCCGTGACACCGCCAAACTAAAAATATATATATATATAGAGCTGCAAGTTTTCCATCCTTCGTGTAGTGTGGGCAGAGAGTGCTCGACGGAGAATGTGCTTCAGAGACTCTGATAGTTGTGGAATGCTACGCTACTGTACAGACAATTAGGGCATCCTCCCTTTGCCGCCATAGTATATTCTTAGCCGCTAAGTTTCCCAACCAGAACGCCCATGGCAAGAGATGGGTGCATTGATGAATTGCTGGGTGAGCTCCAGCACTTCCTTCAAGGGCAGCTGGAGGTGACTAGAGCAGCTGAAGGAGTAAACCGGAAGTAGAACGCAATATGTAATTAGTCAATGCTAGGATGGGTGATTTCCATCACCTCGGGTTGAGCACGCTGGGCTTGATGCTTTGAAGAAAGGCTTTTTCTTGTTTACTTCGTTTGGAAGGCATGCACCGTGGAAGCCAATGGCCTGGCTCGATGCTGTGCCCATGCGGAACGGCTTTTGGAGCGACATGGTTCAAAGCAATTTGTTCCTTGCTTTTGCCTTTTCCCTTCGTTTTGTCATCGTTTGCCCTATTAATGGTCCAATGCGCTGAAAGATGTCAACACCATATGCAGATCCTTAAGTGACGTGGTTTCAAGACTAAACCAGGTGCCTCAGTTGAAACGCACTGAATATGACATGTACTGTATATGAGTTGCTTTCAAAAATGCCGTTGCTTACTGTATTAAGTTACAAGGGCGGCGGCGGTTCATGCAGTGAGAGTTTTCCGTGGAGAGCGATACGGGACGTCCAACACACGGACACGATACCCCTATTGCTACATGCAATGTGTCCTTGGAAGTCAATGTGCGCACTCTGCAACACCTTGCAAAAATAAGTAACATATACATATATATATAGTATTTATATAACTACGGAGTCCCTGTTCGAAACGCTTAAAACGATACGGGACGTCCTAACTTAGAACGATTACACCCTAAGTGGGTTTAGAAAACAACTCGTATAAGGTGCAGTGCGTAAAACACACACATACGCACGAGCGCGGGTTCACCACCACTCCCGTTGCTCGCTCCCTGCCCAAAGGAAGACAAGACCGTCAGCAAAAGGCAGTCAGGACTCTTTGCTTTTGCCGTTTCGCCGGTGATGTTGCCCTCAAAAGAATTCGACATCGATAATTATTTCGCGAGCTCTTTGTGTCGACCCCGAAGAAGGAGCTCGACTTTGACTACCAGAAGTGGTGGCAGTGGCGTCAGCTTCGCTCGGAATGGACGCAGACGAGGAGCAGAGAGCAATCTCTCAAAGAGGCACTACCATGCACTTGGCTGAAAACAGTTGCCGGCATGCTGAGAGACCTGAAGAGAAGTTAGTTGTTGGGAGCGCACTCTATTTCATCGTGTATGTAAGTGTCGCAGGCTGCTGACAAGGCTCGAAGCACTTGGAAACAGCAGCTGGCGAGCTCAAGGACAGCTCAAGAGTCTCAGGTGCCTTTTGGTTTGTTGTGTGACTTACCGAAGCTTGACAGGCCAAGCTCCGAAAGTCAGACGCTCAAAGCTTCCAGCTTGGCGAGGCTGTGCACTTTCACGGCTGAACAGGTGCATGTCCGAGACAACCATTTTGGCTGCAAGTTCAATTTGTTTGGTAATTTCTATGCATTCATGTTGAAGAAGAATATGTCCTGGACATTCCCGGACACATGTTACAACGTTTGACACGTGCATCCTGGCAAATTCGACACCATACCTTGAATTTGCCTGAGGTTTTGCCATCACCAGAGCAGTTCTTTATGTCAAAAGGCTTATGGCCTGACACAGGGGATTTGCGAGTGCAAGAGTTCTGCCAGCTTTTCCTGTTGATAGCGCTCGAAAAATGGGTGGCCCGTTTAGCAGAGGAGGCGGTGGCTGAAGGTCCTTCAGTTGACATGGCAGCCGATGCAACCAAGCAGAGAAGCATGGAAATGAGAGCTGAACGAGAAGTTCGAGAAGTAGAGCAACCGAACACCGATGCGCATCCCTTGATTCTATTGCAGCACATTCCCGGTGGAGAACCGGCTGTCCGATCAATACTTCAGGCCAAGCACAAAGCGAGGCAAATGGAGTTTGAGTCCAATGTCATCATTCGCATTTGCTGCGGCGAGTCCCAGAGTAGGTCAGAGAGTGATAGACCTCCTGGCCCATCAGTGACAAACCTCCTGGCCAAGGCGGCAGGTTCTTCATGTAAGTCACAAGAGCTCTTCGAAGCTGCATGGAGACAAGCATAGCATTCTTGTTTGTGTGCCTCGTTTGTTTTTCTGTGTCATCAATCAAGTGGACAAGCGTGCACACTCAGCTGGATGACTTGGCGAGAAATACTGCTTTTTCAGTTTTGTCTGAGAGCTGGGGGTGTTTACAAGACCACGCCTAGCCAAACGCAAATGATTAGCAGCTGCAAATATCACGAGTCTCTCTCTCTCTCTATATATAAATATTTTGGCATGCCTGTGCCTGAAGCACCTTCATACAAAATCGCATATACAGTACTGATATTCTATAAATGCAATCGTGCACATGCCTCCGTTTATCTGCGTGTATTGGCACAATGGTGCTCAAGCTTGTTTTGCCGGCCGACCCTGTAGGTGGAGGAGACTCTGAATCTGCAGACAGCGCTCACTGAGGTGCAGCATTGAAGTTTTTCTCAAGGGGTAGACTGCGAACGGGGTGGAAGTATACAAAAAAGAGATTAAGGAAGTAGGTAGTTAGTGGTCTAGTTTAGCAACAGGAAGGCACTAGATGCAAGGACCCAGACGGAGATGCTTTTGTGACAGATTCTTCGCATGAATGGTGGAAACGGTTCCTAGTTTTCTATGCCAAGGCCTGCCAAGTATTGCTAAACTACAAGCTGCAAAAACCTGCTGCTAGAGTATCAAGCCATGAGTTGATCCAAGGCGAAGAGAGTCAAAGCTTTGGAGGTACTGCGCATGGTCCAGCATCTCTGCTCTGATCAGCGGCGGATGCTCAGCTTTTGGGCTCTTTCTGACGTCGCTGCCGCGGGTGAACACGATGAAAAGGATGCGCTCAGAGCCTGCAGCACCAAGCTGTTGCCAAGAATGATCGGCATCTAGGAATCCCCGCAGCTCAGGATTTGAGCTTTCCTGCTTTCAATCCACTTGTGCATCATTGAAGTGTTGTCGATGAGCCATTACAGCGTTTGCTGAGTTTGCCTATTGCAGCGTTTGCTGAGTTTGCCTGCCTGCATGAGAAGCGGCATGTGCAACATGTATGGAGTAAACAAATTGGATGTGGATGTGAGTAGTCCATACTGCCCTAAGTACCATTATATAGCCATTTAAATCAAGAATCAGTTGTAGTATTGAGGTGGCTTGAATACCCCCAAGCATAATCATAATGAGGCACTGTGACAGAAGACCAGTGATATGTTGCATCTCTTGCGCCGCTTGCCATGGCTTTCAGCCGCAGGCTGCAATCCCGAAGTCAGGCACCTGACCCTGTGAATCGCGAAGATGAGGACCATCTCCTTAAACGTTTCCGTTTGCACGTCAGCCTCTAGCCAAGTCAGCCAACGAACTCAATGTGTGGCTTTAAACGATTGTTTAGTTTTACCCTTGGCCACATAGAAGTCTTTGATTTTGATACCGTCACCTACTGCACCATTGACCACCAATTTTTTTGACAGATGCCTTCTGGGAGGAATCGAAAACCGTGCACAGCTTTCCTGCAGAACAGCGGTCAAGATGGCTACCTGCCGGTTGGGAAGAGATATTGACATTGAGCTGCAAAGATGGACCCGGCAACATTAACACTTTAGCTGGCCAACCATAGCCAATCGGCTTCAGTACGCTCCCATTACATTATGAGGGTGTGGCAGGTGCCAGACTTGATCCAAAATGAACTGAGGAGAAGCCACCCAAGCACTGGAAAGCATGCTGACTGCGGAGTGCTCCTTCCACCTGAAGCTTTATTCTGCTGGACTGAGGGGGACTTCGAGATGTACATTGTTACTGGGTAATACGGTAATATGCAGAGAGCTGGCAGATACAATACAAGAGGACATGAAGTAAATGACTGCAGGTGCGGCATGTGTCAGTAACTTGAATTCTCGAACGGACACATTGCCGAGGCTAGCTCAGGCTATGTAAAGCCAAAGCTGAAGCTCTTTTACTACCTATCTCCGGAATGTCCCCAGACCATCGTGGACCTTGTATCTCCTCCACTGCGTGAGCTGAATTGGGCGTGCACCGTGGCTCCTTCGTCTTTGCCCATTTTCGTTTGGGAGGGCTCTCGCCGCAGCATTGACCCGATGCCTACTCTCTCGCGTGGTGGCCTTGTCAATCGAGTGTCTGGAGTCTCTTCCATCACCACCAAAGTCGGCATGCTAAAGGCACTGCAGCGAGGCTAAAAGCCAGCAATTAAAGTGATAGGACAAGTTGGCGATTTGATGTGTGAGTGACATTGTGGAACAGCTTCAAGGCACAGCCTATGTAACCGTTTGCAGACCACTTTCCCGCCACCTTGGTATTCCACGACTTTCGAGCTGCCCATGGACCTGGAGACTTGGAAACGGCATCACGACAAACAGTGAGGTGGAAACGGCAGTGGCCAAAGTTTCAGGTTGACACAGATGTTCTCAATACTGCTAGTTACTAGTAACAAAGGGCATCGCTACTAGGAGCAAGGACGCTATTAGTAGCTCCTGGCCTTACTACTAGCAGCAAGTAAGCTACTAGTAACAAAGGTGCATGGTGCCGATTTCGAGCGGTCCGGCTTTCACCAATAAGGCACGCGGAGGAGAACCCAGATAAACGCTGGATTTACAAACCAAATGGCAGCTTGACTGAGCAGAAGCGTTCTGCGTTGGTACAGCGTTGGTATGTGTTGGTACGGCGCATTTCAGATGCACGGTGGGACAACTCAGACAATCCAGAGCAGAGCCCAAGGTGGTGCCAGGGGCGTTGGCATCATCCTTGTCTCTTCGCCTGCTGAAGTGGACACTCCGGAGCGCCCATTTCAAACAAGGTGTCGTGCGCCTCGAGCAGAAGATATGCCACTCGGCTTACCAGACATGCCACTCAGAGTGCTGCCAATGTCGAGTGATCCCATCCGCAAAAAAATAAAACTTGTCGGGTGATAGCTCGAAGTAAAGTATGTAATATACAGTTTTTTGTTTCGAAGTGAGGCTTGGGATCATGTGTCCTTTGATCGCATGAGTGTTCACCCACTACTTGCCCTCAGGGAAGCATCACCAGCAGAAGAACGCACCTGGGCAGACACATGTTCAAGTGTGTCCAAATAGCGGTGGAACTTCCAAGGTTTCTTTGCGCCCAGTGGTATCATTCAGGACGGTTGGGCTACTCCTCACCAGCCTGTACTTCTCGACGAAACACACCAACTGCTTTTCTGAAGGTTGATTTACTTCCATTTCCTTCGGAAATCGGTTGCAGGAATACGTCCAAAATTTGCAACTTCTGCGCGGTCACAAGTTTCTTGGCATAAATCAACTTAGATCAAGTGATCTTGTCCTTCATGGTTCCTACTGCCGAAATTGTGCTGCCAAACCTTTAGGTTTGCGGTGCGGGCTTATCTGCAGCTCGGAGTGATAGACATATAATTACTGTATATGTACAATATGCACGCACACATATATCTATACGGAGGTATATGTATGTATACACACGCACACACACACACACATGTACATACTTTAATGTGCAACTCTTGTATGGACATTGCTGCCTTTGCCTAGCTCTCTTCAGGCTCATTGCTCGCGTCAAGCCGCTGCTGGTGTATTTGCATGGGGCTGCATATGCAAAGGTTTGTGGTCAGGAATTTGATGCTGCTTCTTTCTCGCAGGCGCCTTCTTTGCTTGTGTTCCCAGGTTGGGTTGGATGTACCAGGGGGCATAGTTTCTCAGTAGAACTGTAGAGAGAGAGAGAGAGAGAAAGAGAGAGAGTAGAGAGAGTAGAGAGAGAGAGAGAGAGAGAGTGAGAGAGGGAGAGAGAGAGAGAGAGACACACTCTGACATTGGTTTTCAGTTAACTCAATTTCCAGGAAAGTGGCGATGGAACGGAAAGGTGAGAGAGTCAGCTCAATTGTATTGTTGAACAAGGTTAATGCAAGACGGCTCAACGATCAGCGCGGCTGCACCTCTGCTGGGGAGGAAAAGGTTTGGGGGGAGTATCATGAAACACCATGAAACAAAAAGCAGAAAGTGGAACGGCTTGATCAACAGTTGCGTCGCAGGTACAGGAAACTGGCCAAGTTTCCCTTCCCACTCTTCTCCACAGCTTCGTTGCGTGTGATAGGAGAAGAGTGTCACACGCCCCTGCATGTCTTCAAGGAACCCTTAGAAACAGGGTGTGACACACACAACAAGCCGAACTCGGCGCAATTGCAGAACAGTGGAAAAAGCGGACCTTTTTCAAAAGCCGCCTGCACGCTTGCAGGTCCACACACGGTGCCGCTTCGCGGCGCGCATGTGAAAGACCTGAATAGTAACCTACAAAAGAAAAGAAAGACAGAAAGAGCAGCGCGAAGAGGGCAAGAAAGAAAGGTAGGTGTAGAAAAAGCGAATACTTAGCCCTTGACTGGGGTAGGGAAACGAGCCTCAAGAGCAACCTAAAAAGCCTGAGAGAAAGCCCAACAAACGACGAAAAGCGCAAGAAGGAAAGCGGGGGGGGGGCAGGGAGGGGCTGTATGTCCATGTGTGTGTACATGTGTGTGTCTGAATACCTAGCACTCTAGAGTTACTGATTACTTAGCAGAGATGAATTAAGTGCAATAGCTAGGGAGCGGGACTTTAGTCTTAGACCGCCCGGGTAGGAAAGACTGGAACAGGAACAACACAGGGAAAGGCACCGACACACAAGTGTGTCGAGTACCATTTCCCTATGTTGCCCTAAATAGGTAGGGAGTAGAACTCGGCTGGGGGGGGGGTTGGGAAACCTGCCTCATTACGGGTGGAGTACCGTTTTATAGCCCGGCGGCTCTGGATTCCGTGGTTGAGATTGTCCGTCGTTTATAGCCCGGCGGCTCGAAAATCCGTTAATTCAGTTATGGAGTTGAACGAACGGGGAACAGTTACAAACATGAAGGACCAGTGAATTCCGGAATGGTTTCGGCGCCTCCTTTCGGAGGGTCACACCCAGCACCCAAGTGGGAAGACTGAGCGGCTCACACTCTGACATTGGTTTTCAGTTAACTCAATTTCCAGGAAAGTGGCGATGGAACGGAAAGGTGAGAGAGTCAGCTCAATTGTATTGTTGAACAAGGTTAATGCAAGACGGCTCAGCGATCAGCGCGGCTGCACCTCTGCTAGGGAGGAAAAGGTTTGGGGGGAGTATCACGAAACACCATGAAACAAAAAGCAGAAAGTGGAACGGCTTGATCAACAGTTGCGTCGCAGGTACAGGAAACTGGCCAAGTTTCCCTTCCCACTTTTCTCCACAGCTTCGTTGCGTGTGATAGGAGAAGAGTGTCACACGCCCCTGCATGTCTTCAAGGAACCCTTAGAAACAGGGTGTGACACACACACACACACACACGCACACACACAAACATGCACAGTTACGTTTGTGGTTGGCCTGCAAGGCGGACCTTTTCAGACACGTGGCTCAGCAGCATGCCCGCAGAGTCACCTCAAATCTGTGTCGGTTTCAGCAAGCTGGGCCAAGGTCACCGAACAGGAATTTCAGAAGCAGGGCTACGCGGTCCACAAAGATTGGAAGGCAATCAATCTCCAAGTGGCTGTTGAGCCGAAGCGTTTGCCACAAGAGGGATGCTCTGTTGAACATGTTGGCCTTCAATTCTTTAGTTCCTTCACTTGAGTTATTTTGTGTTTACATCGAACTTAGGACTCGTAGCAACACATCCATGACATAGCAAGAAGTCTAGGAGGTTTGCGCACAGGTTGCAATCCCACTTCAAAAAGGAATGCCCACAGGAAGACAAACACAACGATATCCACAGAAGAAAGAACTTACACAAAACGTCAGTTGAGACAGTCTCGCACAGATGCCCGCTCAAACATTATATGTCAACAACATGTGCCCACTGCGGCAATGCTACTGGCTAGATGTATTCCGGATACTTTTGGTGGATTATTGCAAGCATTCGTGAAAGTCAAGGTTTGTCAAGAAGTCAACACCGCTGCTGCTTTCTCAACCTGTGATTCACAACGGAATTGCACGACAAAACCGAGATATCACTAGGCTACTAGGCTGGGCAATCACTTGCAGCAACATTCCCAAGCCTTCATTCAAACGGCTGAACATGAAGAAGAACGGCAGTCTGCCCATAGGATGTTCAGCAAAAACATCCAAAAGCCAAGTGAAAAATTGGTCCACATTCTTTCTGAATTCCAATGGCAACCTTATTGTTCTTGTGAGGCTGTTGCCACCAGTGACACTTAGTTCATGCTGGAGGGTTGAAAGGGCTGGTGGGATATCAGGGCTTCGAAAAATTAGGGGTCACTACTAGCGGAGGGGAGCTCAAAGCACAGCAGCTGGTAGAGTTGGCTTTTGTGGGGCTCGGGCCGGGGGAAGTTGAAAGCCTCCCACCGTGCATCTCGGAAGCTAAAGAAGCTCCAAATGCTTATTCCTTGTTGCTACCTGCTACCATTTCCATAGCAAGCTCCAGGATGTTCTTGGCTATCTCCTTTTTTCTCACCGAGTTGAAATCTTAGTCATAGTCGAATGCTCTGACTGAAGTTTGTCTCATACATTCTCGGATGCACGAAGCGTCGCTAAGCCACAGCCGCCACAGCCCTCAGCTGTGCCAAACACAGACGATCTCAAACATCGGCAAAAGCTCTGAGCGGTCGTGGTGTCATCCGGATCCGCGGTCCCACTTTGCGGCAAAGTTAGGCCGACTGTTTTCTCAATTCCAAAAGTAAGCAAGTCTCAGAATGATCAAGGCAAAGTCCCTCAGAGGAGAAACAGCCATGATCTAGCGCAAAGATGCACAAAGTAGTTTGTGGGAAGCCATGCTTTTTTTCTCCCTCTAGGTTTTGGTGACAAGATTTGTGTGTTTTGTTGGCTCGGAAAATCCAGATTATAAGGTGCCCTTGCTTTGTTTTCATGCTGCACTTCCACGTGCAGGTGTGGCCAGTGATGCTGCTCAGAGACTTGGCACGCGAGCTTCACAGTGACACAGGACTGCAGGCCACCGGCAATTGGCATGTTCTGGTGAGCTCCGGGTGGTTCAATCACGTTGATGGCACTTCGTCGTCAACTTTCTTCGTTGTGGCACATTAGAGGGGTCGGGTGTCTTGCAGTAAGAGGTTGCTTCTTGGGGCGCTTTTCACGATTCTGCCGCTGCCTGACTATTCAGCAAGGTTTCCCTGCTTGACGTTTTTTTCTTAAACATTTATAGTCTATAGATGTCTATAGTTATAAACTAGTTTCTATCATGTGCATGTCATGAATTGGGATCAATCCCGAAACCAACCATGGCACAGCCAATATAAGCTTGTAGCTTATAACAGGCTTCCTTGGGAATCGTTTCACTGGGAATGGTTTCACCTGTAGTAACAGGAAGCCTTTAGTATGTCTTTGATCGCTACTAGGAACAAGAAGCTACTAGGGGCTCCTGGCATCTACTAGGAGCAGGGACGCTACTAGGGGCTCCTGGCCTTACTACTAGTAACAAGAACGCTACTAGGAGGTCTTTGATCGCTACTTGTTTGGATAATTATCGCAGGTGAAGGCTTCTCACAAACCTTGAAGGTCAGTTTAAGCTGTTTCGGTATCAAGGACTCCTTGAATCTCCCTCATTCCTCATACCAAAAGGACTTGGAATGCCTTAAGCAAAGAGCTTTACGCACAGTCAGAAATCAATCAGGTCCACCATATATATACTGCAACTCGCTTTGTTGTGCGAATGCGCCGTTCGTATTTTCTCAGGGTATACAAGCTGCATGCCAGCCACAGGTTGGAAAGCTAGGCTAGAATGCCGGTCGAAAATGTGACACTAGATTCCTCTCAACTCCTTTTAACATAATTGCCCTTCAGGAGAGGAGATGGCACTGGCATGGCTGTCTTCATTCTGGGAACAGGCTCGGGCCATTTGCATCCAGGTCGTCGACAGCATTCGGGAATCCTTGAGTGCGGTGCTCAAGCTGAGCAAAATTTGTTGTACGGTCTCTCAATCGTGGCCCAGGTGATTGCCAATTGGGTATGTTCGAGATTCTGGGCTTGGATTTTATTCGCAAGGCCAGCTCAAACTTTTTATTGTGCATCCATGATGTTTGGAGACAACCGTGCTCAATGTTCTCACCACTTCAGGCAGATGGCCATGTGATCTTCTTGGAGGCCAACAGGGATCCCTCCTGGGTCATTGATGGTGGTGCTAAACAGGAGCCTTGGTTCAGGAAAGACTTTATCAGGTATAAACTTTATAAGCAGCTGTGCTTGCCGGCGCCAGTGATATACAACTAGACTCTACACTATATCATAATATGTTATCATTTGTTGAATCTGTGTGTGTGTGTGTGTTCCCCAGGAGGGTGCTTTCTTCGTCGTTGCATCATTCCAAGGCCATTATACCAGCCTTGGTTCGCGATTTGTTTCTTGGATCTTATTGGCCTTTTGCTGCTTGCAGAACGTGCACTCTTTGGGCCCAAAGAGAACTCCACACCGGACCCCAGGCTGTCGATCGTTCTTCGATCGCACGGAGATGGGGCCGAAAAGTGTCCAATTCTGAGCTCAGGTGGACACTTGGCTGCAGTAACCCGGGGGATCAGAGTTTTGGATACTTCCCAGCGAGACCGAGGTCATGAGTTCGACTTTGAGATCCTGGTAGATGAAGCTGAGAAGCAGAGCAAAACAAGAGCACATTCTTGGAGAGTGGCAGATGGTTGCTGGGCTGACTTGTCTTTACAAGAGTCACAATAGCACCGCTACCTACGGCCTAAAGTACCGTCCATCAAATGTGATTGGAGGGAGTGTGCAGAACAATGTGAGCACTATCGAAGCTCATGATGCGGAACGAGCACCAAACGTCAGACGCCTCAAAATTTATATACATTATATACACTTCCATGTCACCTCATCATCAACATCTCCAAACCCGTGCATGCACCGGAAACTTGTCTACATGTTGTGGAAGCTTATTCAGATGCCCATACAGAAGTTTGTTCTAGCTGGGTTTGCTTATTCCACTCTTTGTATTTGACTGGTGTTTCGGACATATTGGGGGGACAATGTCAATGGAGTTGACTTTTGCGACCATTTTAGGAACGAACCTACAATGACAAACGACTTTCTGACATGTACATTTTGCATGCCAGATCACGCCAGTCATTGCACTGTCACTTGCCCATATCATGCCATGTCGATGTGGCTCAAGCTTCGTGACAATGCTGGCTCTCCCAGTAAGAAACTGTGCATCACTGCTTCGCTGTAATTTTATCCGGGCCATGTCTGCACAAGGCAATGAAAAGAAACGTCGATTGGAGGGTTTGTCCATCGGGCTGGTTGGACTTGGCTCCATTGGGCAAGTGGTGGCAGAGAATCTGACGAAAGGAAGCCTCTCCGGCCTTTCAGGGGTGTCCTTGAGTGCAGTCATCGTCCAAAAGGAGCGCACTGAGCGACCGCCAGAGCTTGGGGCGACCGCTTTGCTGACGACCAAGGTTGAGGACTTTATGGCCGCTGATTGGTCTCTTTGTGTCGAAGCTGCTGGGCAATCCTGGGTTCGACATCACGGCAAGACAGTGCTAGGTACCGGTCGAGACCTTTTGGTGACCTCTGTTGGAGTCTTTACAGATGATGACTTACTCGAAGACTTGACGACTACTGCGAGGATGTCGCACTCACGCCTGCTCCTTCCTGCGGGTGCCATGCCTGGTTTGGATTGGATGTCCAGCGCTGCACTGGACGAAGTCAAGGTAATTACCCTGGAGCAGCGGAAAAGACCAGAGGGTTGGCGTGGGACTCCTGCAGAGAAAAGCTTAGACTTGGAAAATGTTACTGAAGCAACTACAGTCTTTCAAGGCCCAGCCCGTGAAGCAGCTAGCCAATTTCCTAAGAATGCCAATATTGCAGCTGCATTGGCCTTGGGAACAGTCGGGCTAGATAGATTGCAGGTTCGATTGGTAGCAGACCCGACAGTCCCTGGTCCAACGAACAAAGTGACTTTGGAGGGTAGTTGCGGTGAGCTCACTTTGGAGGTTCGTGGCAGGCCTTTGAGCCAACGCACCTCACGAATCGTACCATTTTCAGTTCTAAAAGCTTTAAAGAACCTGGCATCCCCAGTCAGCATCGGCCTTTAGACGCTTTAGCTCATGCCACGGCATTTTGCGAGACTCTGCGCCACACAAGAGGTCGAAAATGCTGAGTAATGCATCAATTCTTGAAATCCTGCCACCAGCAGCAACATGGACAGCCATTCAATGCATGTCAGCGGCTGAGGAATGCATCCTTCTACGAGGGAGAGGAGGCGGACAGATCGGACAGGACGTACTGCCTCTTTGTTGTTCCGAACACTTGTGACACCTTCAGGCCCAGTTCATCAACCTGATGGGCAGGCCCTGAGTCCGTAACTCTGTGCTAGCAATCGATGGGACTGGGAGAATGATATCATGGTGAAAATCTACTCTTTGCGCGACAAGTTGAATGAAAGGTCAAATACTATTGAGAATCTCAACGTACCCATGCAAATGCTACATTCCTACCCTAGTGCCAGTATCTCTATATATACATATATGTTATATCATATGCTTTTCACCCCTGGAATTAATAAAGAGCAACTCGCATGTTAAACCTCCAGCAACTCAAGCTGCTGAGTGGAATCCAGAACTGGGACGTGTGCCGGTGTGGTTTGTGCTTGTCAGTTTAGCGGCTACTGTTGCCGGCATACTCGCCACCGTTGAGATCGAAGTTTTTCAGCTCGCTGCGTGAAGAAACTGCGGGCACTGTGGGCACTCTACTTGGAACTCCTAGACGCCGCTGAAAGGGAGGGGGTGGGCGTTTCCACGCTCACCACTCCGCTGAAGGGCTTGCTAGACGAGGGCAGAAAGGGCAAGGCTCAGAGAGAAAGAGATCGCCGCTGCCAACTCTTTCACAGTGCTCCTTCCTGACGAGGAAGCTTCTCCAAGCAGCCAGCCCACTCAAGCCCCCGATCCAGACAAGCCCAACGACGAGCCACCTGGTGGAGAATGTGTGTGCTCAAAGATCCCGTCGCCGACGGAAAAGGCGGTCACCGAGGAGGAGAGACCGGAGCCGCGTCGCAGGAAACGGTCTACTTGTAGGAGCTCACCCCGCAGAAGCGGTGTGTCCAAGCCAGCCCCCAGACATGAGCCGCAAGAGGGGTGTGGTCCGGTGTGATCAAGGGGTTGCTGTAACTTTCCACTTTGGGCTCGCACCCTCCGGGTCACTTGTTACAGCGTGAGAAAAGTAAACCAATTGCAACTCAACTTTCTCAAGCCAAGTGGAACATCGTCATCAAGTATTGGGAGGCGCCCGATCGACGGGGCACGACTGCGACCAAGCCAGGCCGGCCGAGGGTTGGTAGAGCAACCTGGAGGAGGTGGATGAAGCGGGCGCGACGAATTCAGAAGGAAAGACAGGAAAGCGTTCACGACCAAGGGGCAAGAACAGCAAAGAGAATGAAGGGCTAGCAGCACTTGCACAGCTGGAGCCACCAACGAAATCTTTGATCCAATTCGTGCGTACTCTCACTGGCATGACCCCCCTACCTTGCCGCAATGCCTCGTCACTTGAGTGCGCTACAACAGTCTGGGGGGAAGTGGATTTAGTTAGTTTTTGAATGCCTTAAGGCGGCGGTTTTTGTGTCGACAGAGAAAGACAAGAAAGAAGGTACCTGGGCTCAAGTGTCTTGGTCTGGCAAGGTGCTTGGTCTGGCTAAAAGAGCTGATGCTGGGCCTCTGGAAGGAGGACTTGTAGTGGAAACGAGCTTTCGACACAACTCTGAATGTGCGGGTGGCAACAACACGGGTGAGTCTTTGTTTTTATGTATGTTTTATAGTATTGTTAAATGCAAAAGTCTTTTGCATGTGATTAGCGCAAGGGGCAAAACGTTGAAGCCCTTCAGAAATTAACAGGCCCAAGGTCGTTCCAATATTTTTAGCTGTGGCCGTGGTACACACTGACAACTTAAGAGCCAAGACCCGAAACTCCAAGTGTGACGGACAAACCGAGAAACACGTCACGACACGAACAGAACTAAACATAGTGAAAAAACGCAGTCCGGACGTCAAATCATGAAGTTGAACACAGACAAACTGATATATATAGAACCCCAAAATGGACAAGTCAAAGATTCTTAGTCGGAAAACCCAAGAATTAGTAATGCAAAAACCAATTTAAAAAACAAAAAACCTGAGAAATCCGTAGCCCACAAGTATTGTTGCTAGAAAAAGCGCGCGGATAGTTTTGGACCTTTTTGGTGTCCAAAAGACGTATCTGGATGGAATCTTCCGGATGGATGAGAGGGGGGCGTATGCTTGGACGGACAAAGCAGCTGCGATTTCTTATGCGCTTGAGAAAACTCACATGCTTTTTGTGTCATCTGACGATACTTCAGGCTTGGGGGGGGGTGGCAGTGAAAGATTGTTGGACCTGCTTGAACCCTCGGGACAGTTTGGAAAAACCTGTCCGCACTTGAGATAAGATACCGGCAATATCCGTACCTGTGCGAAACCCAAATTTGCACATATATGCAGTCGAACTTTCCAGGCTTGGAACAATTTTGGGCAGTATAGATTGGAATATATTAGCATGCTAAACTAGCCGGTTCTTGATGTTTTTTGGAACGAAATTGTGAGAACTTTGTTTCATTTTCTGCTGGAGATTTAATTTTTATATAGAAACATTGCATAACATTGCAAACTCCAGATTGAAGAGCCTCCAACCAAGTCAAGAAGTTGTTTCTTCCCTGAAAAGTCGATAGGTCACAATTTGTCACACCCCTCTCCAAAAACAAAACGCTAGCCCTTTCTCAAACATCAGTTGAAAAACGAATGTTTTTCGACTGTTGCTAAAGGATGCTAAAGGCTCCTGATTACGGCTTTAGGGCCCATAGCGGTCTCGACTGTTGCTAGTTTGGCCATAGTTCTGTTGATGTGGTTGATCAGTTCATACGCAGAGATGCTGCCTGCATATAACGAATTGCGAAGAGTCCTTTGTTCCATGACCACGACTCGCGTGGCTTCAACCAGACTTTTAACTGCAGCTTCTGGCTCAAAGCTAGAGACATGGGTCCTGCTAGACATGTGCTGCGCGTGGCGGCGCTGCTCTGCAGTCTTTGGCCAAAACAACTCCTCTTTCAGGCTTAGGAGCCAACGACCCCAGGGGCCGCTGGCAAGCGACCGTGGTTTCCTGAAGGATGGCGACGAGAGCTAGCATGAGGCGATCCAATAAATCACAAATTGCACGACCGTCATTTGTACCTGAGAGCCCCGGCACCAAGGAGTCCGAGGCTCAACCAAACGGTCTTGAAACACAACGTGCCATTTGTTTCATCTTGTTCCCAAAGCCATGTGTCTCTGTCTCTCTCTCTCTCTCTCTCCAATGCTCTTTGCGCTTGTCTTTTGCTTGGCTTTGCTTTCTTCTCCATTTTGGTCCGTACTGAGGCTTGATGACAAAGACCTCTTCCGAGAAAAAATTGAGCGAGAACGAGGGGAGCGAGGTGAAGGCGGTTTGGACAGTTTGGACGAGTTAGTATGATGTGGTGCTTTGAGCGGATTTTGCCGGCGTTGTTTGTTTGTTTTTTTGGTCTTGAGCCTTATGGTGAGCCATGGTGCCAGGAAGCCCTGTGTTGCTTGGACTGCAATCGCTTCAACAGGTGATGACCCATGAATACACTTGTGGAAGCAACCTGTGTCGGTGAGGAAGGGCAACAAGAAGGTCGATGATTCAGACTTTCAAGCTGTCCTACAGAAGGCCCGTCAACAGGAAATTGTTGGAGAATCCATTGATCCTTATTGAACCTTACTGCTGTTGCATTCCGATCAACGACTACCGTACCGCCGCAGCAACCTGCACGTTGAAAAAGCCTTACACCCCTCGGATATGTTGTTCTAATTTGTTTGATCTTCTTTGTTGAAACGAGGATTTGGGAGAACCCCCTGCAGGCAACAGACAAGTCAATAGGGGTCCAAATGCAATTTCTGACAGGAAGGGGTGGCCACCAACAACGACTTGCCAGGAGGAGGCTCGGAGCTTATATAACCAGAAAAGGGAGCAAACGAGCAAAGCTTCCAAACTCTCAGGAAGCTTCGTCCAAAAGCCAGAATTTGACCTTGTGCCGTCCCCAGACCTGCTAACCTGCTGCAAGTTTGTATAAGTAAATTTGTATTTTTACTGACTGCGGATCTATTGCCAGTTTTTCAGGTAATAGCTCTTGTCATCGTTGCCAACTCCATTGCTTTGGGCCTGGAGATCGACCTCTCTGAGCATCCTAGCGAGCATGGGCGGGCGTGGATTCCGTTATTAGTACGTGCACTGCGCATACTTACGATGCATTACGATGCCCAGGAATAGAAAGAATAAAACAAGAAGGAACACGGAAAGGACTCAGTTTTCCATAGTTTTCCTAAAATCTAGGAATCTCAGCGCTTTTGGGTCTGATCGGTAGCAGTTTCCTTGCTGCTAGCTACTTATAAGGTACAAGCTAGCTGCCCTGGCCTTACCTTGTGTACCCCCAGAAAACTCAAATCGATAGACAAAAAGAGGGCTAGAGAAAGACTGAGAACTCACAGCTTCATCGGTCGGGACCCCAGTCCAGGCACACGCCACAAGCACTCTGGATAGTGTGCGAGTTTCTCGGCGGCATATGCCGGTGTATTTGTGAAGTGGTGATGTCCAATTCTGAATCTCTCAATGATTCTCAATGCCTCCGCTGTTTTTTTCCGTGTATTTTCCCATGCTATGAGGAACGTATTCTGTATCGTGTGGATTTGCGAGTTGCTGCTGAAGTTATTTTGTTTGGGATGGTTATACTGCAAAGATCCATGGAATTATTTGGAACCGGAGCCGCACAATGATATGAACGCATTGCTGGCGTGGTTGATGTCGAACTGGCTGCAAGCTCTCTCGTGTCAAGGACCTATTCCTGGTGTTTTTGGCCATATACGATGCTTGGATATCACCTTTCGTTCGCAGTGCCTGGGTGCAAGCAGCAAATGCTGGTTGATTTTGTTTCCTCAGCAGCTGAAGTATGCTAAAGCTGCTAAGATGTGCCCAGCATGGTGCTGTTCGAGCGCAACTTGTGTTTCAGTATCTCTCAGGTTCAGACCCGAGTCACGTGGGCTACCTCCGGGTGATCCGCATGCTGCGGCTGCTCAGACTTGTGAGGCTCAACTGCAAAAGCATGGCTCCAAACGATCTGGTCAATTGTTCCCTTTCTCCCTATTTTTGCCCTTGATGCCTTAGCAATTTGGAGTGACGTGGGTATGCGACAGCTGGCCCCAAAAAAGAACTGATGTGCTGTGCTCATAGAGGGGTATACAGTGGTATACGCACGTCTCTCTCTCTCTCTCTCTATACACACACCCCATGAAATGACTCATTAGGGACGAAGATACATGTGCAATTTCATTCCAAGAGGTCAAAGACTGTGATGGTAGGTCTCATCGCTCGTTGAATGTTGCAATTCCAAGGAAGCTTTTCAGAGTGCCTTGGGCTGCAGCAACAGATTGCTCAATATTCTTGGATTCTTGGTGCTTGCACGTGCTTGATGATTTGCAAGTTTACATGGGTCCATGCTAGCAGAGCATTCAATCAAATCATTAGCTGCAGTAGCAGCATCATCATCGCCAGCTGTCCTGGACACGGATGTGGCCCTTGCCCCTAATGGTTTGCAGCAGTGAGCGTGCTGCGGGGCTAGGTGATGAAGATGCAAAGGAATCTTTGGCTGCTGGTTCAAGGCTTCATCGAATCTTTTCCCTAAAAGTTCAGAGAATGAAAGAATACACCTGAGCAAAATTGCGGAAGCAGGATTTTCTTCACAATGAATGCTGCAAAGAGGGTCATGTGTTGCCATCAAACTTGCCTTTCGGCCTAAGGAGTCCTTCAGCACTCTATGCTGGGTCTCCTTCCTGATTCTTTTTGTGATTTATGTGGTTGGTCAGCACTGGTCAGCGTCTTTAAAGATCAGCTCTCAGCAGGTAATTGAGCGACTCCGAACGGATCTAAGGCATATAGCTGCCTTTTCAGCCACTCAGCTTATCCCAAGGCCCATAGCCTGTAGACAGCCTGGACATGGCGTTGACACGAATGTTGGCAGTTGCACAGTTTGCTTCAACTGCCCCAGCTTGTTTCCATTGCATGACTGAATACAGTTGGACTATATCGTTTTGAAGGGCCAAGGAGGTTGTTCAAGATCGCTGCTGATTTTGACAGCATGCCGTGGCAAGAAGTCCGCCCTTGGTATATGATTTTAAGGAATCCTGGTGGACTGCAGCCGGGACTATTCGGAATGGGAGAACTGTTCGATGTCTCAAACTCAACTCAGGGTGCACAATGCACAATTGTGGTCATTGCAGTGCACGGTGAAGTGCTTCTAGACAAGTGCCACAAACGGCACAGCCATTTTCACACCTTGGCCCTCGGACACACCAAGGCTATTTGGGACAATGCCGAAGGCGATGTTCACACTGTTCCAGGCGAGGTGGCGAGGCAATGAAGTGTACGACGCGCATGAAGATACATTAAGATGCATCAATTTTAGTAATTTGTTTTATTCAACCTTTGTCCGTCCACACCGGCCTAAACCAACAACAGCTCTAGCCGCTCAAGGATGCAAAGAGATCAAGGGGCTGGGACTGCACAAACAGTCTCGTTTGCTCAGCTCCAGACCATGTTATTGTGGGAGGTATATATATACGGCATGTGCGGGTTGATCGTAATGTCCGTTACCAGTTCTTGGACCTGCTTCCAAGTTGTTGGTTCATGAAGCATGCCTTTCAATCTCTCGGATTTCGCTGCCAGATGCTCACATTGGAATCGTGGAGAGACTAAGCTGCACAGCTCTGCACAATTAATGTTGCTAATGACTAGTGATTGTTTTGTTTTTTTATGTGTGTGGATTCCGCAGCATTTGAGAAGCAGTTGATTTTTGTCATTGGAGGATGACCCGGCGACCCGACTTCGTCTTTAGTTTTCTCCCCACATCCGGATCTCATGTTCCTAAGGCATGCTGATTGCACGTCCTCTGATGGTAGTGAATCCAGCCCTATTTGCATCTCAGCTTTACTTTGATAGCCAAGTTGGTAAAGAAGCTGGTGAGGATCTTGGCAAAGCTTCGCCAAGAATGCTCACTCTCCAATTCATAATTTCTCAGGGAGGAGTGGTCCAAATTGATTTGCACACCTTGGGAGCGATGTGTTGCGATAATTTGCCCTAGCATGGCCAACCAGATGAAGCCATGCAGGCAGGGTGCAATCGGAAGCACCGCGCAAGGTGCCATTGATAACCTTCCTGCTACTAACAACTTTTGGGCTCCTGCCAGGTCCTCAGAACCTGCAATGGTTCCAGAGTGCTTATCATAGAAATCAAGGTCTATTGCCTATCGTGTCACAGGATAGGCAAATCTTGACGCAACTTCTGATATGTTGAGCAATCAGCAATCTGGAAAGGAACATCATTGTGGGTGTCGTCGTTGAGAACACGTGGCTGTGATTTAAAGAGAACACGTTGCACGCGGGCCGTTTTTCCGACGTGAAGCGTGAGCCATATATAGGCGCAAAGAATGCATACGAAGGACGGTGATCGAAGATATCAGATAGCGGCCACACGCATCTAAGGCTAAGCGTCGCAAAACAGAACATGGATTTGCAAACAAAGCGCGCAGAGCGACAATTGTTGAAGGACATTGTCATTGAACGAACAGCTGTTCGATGCCGTTGGGTTGTGTTTCCTGCCGAGTCCAACAGCTCTCAAAGCTTTTGGAATTGCGGTGGCAGGAACTTGAACTTCTCAGAACAGTATTTGAGGAAGCTGATGTGGATGGTGACCTGTTTGCAATTTGTAAGCTGATAGCATGCAATCAACATGCTCAGCCGACTCAATTGACCTGATGCTCTTGGGGCTGCACAGTAAGATGGTAGCCGTTTATAGCCTTTTGCAGTGTGCCAGTGCATGCCTGCAAGGAAGTGGGACCATGGATAAGAGAGAATTCTGCGATATTTGCAATACAACAAGCGTAAGGCGGGAATCCAAACTTTCCTCTTGGAGGCCATGGCTAGTAGGTTCTTCTTTATTATATACACAACATAAGTTATTTTTCCATTTTTATTTTGTCGCCTTCGTTCGCCCTTGGAACGTCGAGGGCGGTGTTGGGGACAAATTGAAGCAACCGGTCGCAGGCGTGCTTTGCAACGTATGGGTGTGCCCTTAGACCAATCGGAGACTTTGTTCGACATCATCGATTCGGGTAATACCGGCGAGGTGGGGTTTGCTTCGTTGTGCTTCGCTTCCTCACATTTTTCATGGCTTGATGTCTTTCGAGCTGTCTCTGAGCGGAATTCCGAGAGGTCAACTTTCCTAGTTTCATAGAAGGAGTGAAGAATGTCGCTTGGTGGAGAATTTAGTCCGGTGCTGGCTTCCTGGATCCTTTGTATTTGTGTGCTGAAGGTACGAGGAGTTCCCACAAATCTTGATATGAAGGCCGCCTGAACCTGAATGAGTAACTTTTTTTGGAGTTTGCTCCAAATTGTAACCGACAGTCTGTATATTAATATTGTGGAGCTGACCAGCCAGTACTGACCTCTCGTTCAGTCGTCCAACTCTCTCTCTCTCGCTCTCTCTATCTCACTGATAGTTGCAGAGCGGCTCTCTTCACAAACGTGTCCTTGGAATAGCATTGAATGCAGAAGCAAATTTAGATGTACGATGCTTGCTTGCTTGTGCAGTGATACAACATGATACAAGCGAGTGCAGTGTCCAAATTTGTCAGACGATGATGGTTGCGGTCAGAAATATTCGGAAGCAACAAGTGCGGTTTGAGAAGGTGGGCCGGACATTCAAACGGCTGGAGACTGAAATACAATAGACAGTCAAGCGAAGTGCAGTCAGATCTACCCTGTGGCAAGTATATGACAGGAGTCAGTGCACCTACAGAAGATCCTTCTGGAATTCATTGCGGACTGGGCCTGCGAGGGGTGTTTTGCGTGACACAGTTTTGACACTGTTCTTACCCGCAACCCTGTGTGCCTGACAAAGCTCAGATACAAGCATAGGATCATACGATCAATGCCCCAGGAGGCACAAGAAGGTGGAAACGTGATCAACCTCCCTCCCAAAGAAGAACTGGACGAATTGCTGAAGGTGCACGGGTTTGCTTATGCATCATGTCAAGTCAAGACTTGTCCAAAGAATCCTTTTCGAGCCCGGAGTTTGAAGGTGCGAAAGAAATTGGCACAATGTGGAACTGGCAATTTCAGCGACTATGGTGCTGGAAAGGTGCGTGGCGTTGAATTTGGCAATGGCTCCACATCATGAAACGGTAAGAATCAATTGTCAAAGCGCCATGTCGGGGCTCCTTTTTGTGTCAGGCTGCTCCATGGATGAGCGAAACATTCGAGTCAGAGGAGCAGTTCCAAGATGATGTCCAAAGTGCAGCCAAGGCAGAATCTGAAGATTTGAAACTAGCAAGGACCATGCAAATGGACCCGCGGAGGACGAGCCTCCCCTATTACAGTGCAAACACTTCTGTGACTCACTGCCCATTCGCTGAACATGGTTGCCCTTTTTGATCACTTTGAGGGGTTTCGACCACTTTGCACTTTTTTGAGCTGAAAGACGTTGATTCAGGCTTCTAGCATCGGACAAGAGATACCAGAGCAGACGCAGAATTGGGGTGAAGACGTAGGACATTCAGTGCCCGAGGCTTTGGGGTTGCTGGGGGAGCGTGTGTTAAGTCGCTTCATGAAGTCGCTTCATGACGTTGATGCACAAATCCTTTGGTTGGAGCAAGAAAGAGCGGTCCAAAGGGAAACAAAGAAGGACCATGGAACATGAAACCAGAAGCCTTAGGATGAGGAAGGATGAGGCTTGGAGGTCATCGCTATTAGGTTAAAGAGAAAAAGGGAAAAGACAAATGAACAGATCCCTCGTGCCTTGCAGTCACCAAAGCCGCCGAAGCTGGACAAAGACCCCATCGTGGAGGCCAACAACCTATCCCTTCCTGGGCAGCCAGTAGGCCCGAATGGCCGACATAGCGATCTAAGGCCTGACTCGTCACACAGCTGCTTGGAGAAGCTCAAAAGATTCTCCTATCTTGTCCTTTATGCTCACACAGGGAAGAATGAGACAAACCAATATGGGAATCAAGCAGTTTACCAGCATCCCTTGAAGTAAATATCTTGTTGAAGCACTTGGAGATAAGAGGGCGGGAATGCACGACTGTAGAAACTTGTTGCCCGCATCTTGAGGTACCAGCGGCACTCTCAAGTGAGCTTCAAGTTCCTCGGCTCAAACCTCCACATCGCACGTCAACTTCTCTCTCGAAACGCCAAATGTTGCCTTGGATCGGTGCGAGCAGGTTGGTTTGTACATGTAAAGCGCGGGTCTTCTTGGAGTTCAGAAAGCACTTCAGAGGGAATAGTCTTGGTGACACGGACTGTCACCTTTTGCCGCATTTAGGCTGAGGATTTGAAGATCCAGTCAATACACTTGAGCTGTGGCTACCTGATCACATGACGCATTGGACAACTCACTACTCGCTGTATGGAGGGAGGTGTGGCCGCAACGAGGACACGGCTAGATCAATTCGTGTCCGGCGGATTTGCAGAGTCTCACTTTGAAAGTCATAGTATGCCCAAGTTTTCCAACGCGCAGGAATCTAAGAGAGGTAAGCACACCTAGCCAACTAGCTGAGTATTTGGGGTATGAATGGATCACTGGAATTCATGTTTCAAACGAAGAAAAGACTGCTTGCGCAATGGTGGATTTCTGCACAAATAAGCAGTATTCTTCTGCACGCGTTGGCATTCTGCTGAGCAGATGCAGCAGGGCCTTCCACAAAAGTGGAGACTGGCGTGTTCGCAAATGATTTGGCACTCGTTTGCCTCTGATTTAAGATGTCCTGAGCTATGTGCCTGGCTGGAAATGCAGGGTGCTTGTGCAGTTATATATGTGACATATGTGTATCGAAGCCGAAAGTCGTCAAAGTATCCAGGCATCATTGTTCGGCGGTCTTGGATTAATTCTTTGCATCAATGGCTGCAAACTTTTACATACGGCAAACAATTAGCAAGGTCTGGTAGAAGGCATGTGGTGCAGAATGGGGGCATAGAACATAATACTCGGAGAACCGGTTCTGGAATCAAGAATGAAGACAGCAGTTGAAACGGAGTCCAATGTGGAAAGCTCAACTTGGGAGGCCTATGTGCCCTAGAGACCGCTTTGAGATCGGAGACTTTTGGGTGGTGCGGCTGGAAGAGGCGTAGCCACAGCCAACGTTTCGATTGCTCCTGTGATAGTTTTGCCATGGCGGCATTGGCAGGCATCCGAAACAGCTGGAAGCTTACATATATAACTGTTCTTAACAGGAGTGATTCGGAATGATGAACGATGTAACCAGACAGCTGCCAAGCACACCTATTCTGATTACTAAAGCGTGGACAGGCTGAGAGCAAACGCCAACATCCTGAAGGTCCTAAACCTGGATGAGCCAAGATGGCTCGGTGTTTCTGCTTGAGAGTCTGTGCTGGAGGCGACTTGAAGGCGTTCATGGCGCATGGATCTCAGATAGCCGATGAGATCAAACTCAAGAGGGAGACACATTGTTCAGAACCTGAGCAATTGGCGGCTTAAAGCAACATCTTTTTGAGGCGAGATTGAACGGTTCAAACTTCTGTTGTCCAAGCAATAGGCTCGAGAGGTTCATTCCCCTTTAGCAGCCCAGTCTTGCTGCAGATGCAGCGCTTCGTTGGGGGTCGAACGGCACAACTGCGTCAGGCTGTAAGACCTGTTTGATGTCAGTTTGTTTTCAATATATTTCAGGTCCTCTAGCCAGGGGCCCAGGTCTCAACAGAAGACGATGTGACTTCAAGGTGTGCCGTAGTGCTCGTCTTGGTCTAGACATTTTGGTCTTTATTATTTGTCTCATTGGTTGTTCGCACATCAACCGGCAATTCTGCAAGATGAAGGGCCCAAACCCACCTTTGGAAGGTGCGCTGCGCCAGGCTGGACCGACATGCTCTGACCCGCTTTGACTTCATGGGATCCCATAGGGGCCGTTCGATTCACTCCTCTTACTGTAAGAAGAATACATATATATATATATAGTATAGCATCATACAGCATAATTCCCATGAGTTGTCCTGGTCGACATACTTGGTGACTCTGCAGAAGATGCACTGGGCAGGCTGCAACGACTGAGACACTGCCAAAGGATGGGGCTTCTCAACAGCACATGGTCCGTTCTCTGAAATTGGGTGCCCCTTTTGAAGCTCCCAGAGGCTCCACATATGACACTCACCCTGACTGTTCATTTGCATTGGTTTCCGCTAATCATGAAAGCGAGTTCCAAAGGAGGGCTGCTGAAGTTTTTGTTTACAAGGAGAGACTTAGAATTGATAGCTCCATATAGTTCCAAAGGACCAAATCAATATATCACTACAAAAGATTCCCCCCGCACTTTGCGTGATAGAATCAATGGGGACACCCCCGTAAACGAATTGATAGCGTATTGATTTAGCCCCCCCCCCTCCCCCACCTTGGGACATACGCCATTTGAGTGGTTGGAATTGGCTTAGCGACACAAAGGTTGTTCCAGCATGTTCCAGATTGAGGTTTGAGCGGCGAGAACAATATCCACACAAGTTTTATTGGTGACACTAGCGCTGAAGCATCAGAGCGTACACCTTTGCCTCCATTCATTGATAGTATATACTTCTCTTCATGATCTTCATGGTGGTGGACGAGCCAAATTGTCGCTTTCGTTCCCGCTTCTCAAGTTCAATACACCTCGGTCCAAGCTGACTATCGCTTCGTGAAGTGGGAGGCTGCAACATCCAAGGCTGAAGTAGACCATCCAAGCCTTCAGTTGCCTGACTTTGGGAGCCACTGGGCTAAGACTGTTGATGGACAGTGGTCGTAGACCTTCCTGGGCAAACTTCTAATTCTACTAATTCTAACGTTCTATCTGATTCTAACACAGGTCCGGAACTGTGCGCTAGAGGACAAACCATATATTGTATAGCTACTTCCTGCTAGCCGTGCCTGAAGGAATGGGCATCACTATCGAGTGCTGGTCCTTGCGGGACGCTTTTGTAGGAAGAGCACCAGTTCAAAAGGTTCCTTGATGCAACTGCAAGGCCGCCGGTACCTCAACTGTCAAGAAGATGTTCGGAATCCTGCTGCAATATAAAGTTGACATGTTCACAAAATATTTTTGGAAAAGACCGACATGGAGAAAGGCAAATGATGCAGCTGTAGTGTTTTTGCATGTTTGTGCAGCAGAACATGCGATGTTGCTGCAAACTCAGGCAGTTGAAGATAGACCGTTTGTACGGTTACTTGAATGGGCCGGTGGAGGAAGTTGGTTTGATTCCGGACTGCCTCAAACTTATTGTCAGTCATGGTCATGTCATTGTCTTTGCCGCATTTGCTGATTTCGTAGCTGGCACCATGCATGGAATTTTAGTTTCTGATCGAAAGGAGCTGGGGCAATTTTTGAAGTGTGGAAGAAGCGAGATGCAGCTGAGTTGCAATGTGGAATCAGTGCGGTGCAAGTAAAGAATAATGCGGACATCCTTGGTGTTGCCTCTGGGGCAATACTATAATACTGCGCAGAGCCGAGGCAACGTCACAGACATTGGATTGACTCAAAATGCGGGAGAATTGTTTCCAACCTCGCACTTTGGTTGAATGTCACTTGGTGTGCACGCAAAGCATGTTCTGACACCAAAGACGAACGTGCTGCCACAGTTCTCCTTGTTCACATAAGGTTGTGCTGTTTGTCGTGGTCGGCTACTTTCATAAAGCAGACTGGCAGACTCTCCAGCTAGATCCAATACTCCAAGGATGTGCCTTGGTGTGATGCATAAGGCATAAGGACATCGAATGCAAAGATCTAACCTAAATCACTCCGTTTGCTTGACTGCACATGGCTAGATGAGACGACGAGGCTACTGCGGTGTCGAGCTCGTATTCTTGGCCTTTTTCTCGTATGAGCTGTGGCAGCGGCACAGATCGACAGTGGAGGGACTTGACATCATTGACGCCTTCATGAAGACTGGCTGGAATTGTGGCTGGACATCATGGTGCCGGTGTTGCCGCGTTACCAGCTCTGCCTGCTTATCAGCAACCATGCTCTCATTTACTGCTCTAGCACGTGCAGCCTTTCTTGACGCTCCTACTCGAGAGCCAGTGTTCGTTTTGCCCAATGCTTGTTGTGCCTTCAATGTGCATTCAGGCTATGATGCATTCCTCATGGGGCTTTGCTTTATTGATGCCTGTGCGTGCACCTCAGACTCTTGGGTAGGACTCATTGCATGCACATGCAGGTGAATTCTTCCTTGAGCACGGCTTCACATCTCAGACAGGTGCTGAATTTCATACCACTGCCTCAAGTCCAAGCTGTTCACAATCTCGCGCTTCGTCTGCACTGTTATAGGAGTCTCAGGCATTGTGAATTGTGAGGGGTCATTTTCAAATCTGTGGCATAATGGAAGAGCCTTGCTTATCATCACAGGATTTTGTTAAACGCTCGAGGTTTGCAATCGCAATGTTTATACAATAGCGATCAATAGCGCATTTTGCTCAGGTGCTTCTTCTCGCACCCGCTTTCCAAATCCTCCGACTAGGACGTGTGGTGATGGGCATAGACCTGGCATCCATCACGCTTGACATGGGTTGTTGTTGCTTGATGCGGGTGGCAGTTGCCTCGTGACATGCCCATGTCCACCAGCTTTTCGCATGGATCCACGGCATGGTGCCGAATGAGAGGTGACAGAGCTTCGCTTGATCATCCTTGGCATTCTGCGCCTCATCAAGCTTTAATTTTCTCCAACTCCAAGAGCCTGCGATCACAGCTGGGGTGTTGACCCATGGGCCAATGGGAGATGTTACTGTTTCTCACGTTTTCTCGCTTTGGCACATGTCCTGTCCACTTTCGGTGCTTTCAACCAAGGAGAGCCATGCGTGCTGTGTTTTGGGCAATGGTTCTCCTGACCCTGGCTGCATGGATTGCACATGACAAGGTGTAAGCGGCATAAGCTTAAGATTCCTGGAACATTGGCTAACACTGGTGTCATTCTGATTGAGGTCGTCTATTTCTTCGCAGTCTTTAGTGTCCACTATGTTCGCGAATTCTTCAAAGACGACACTCTGACTGCAGACCTCTTTAAGAATATGGGCGAGGCCATGTTCACCCTGTCAGGGGCTTTGATTGTGAAAGAAGCCGCGCTCTGGCTCTAGCAGAACAGCTCTTTTGCATGTGTCATCAAGATGTCATCAAGTCCATGCCCAAGGTTTTCCTTCGCCACCTTGGAAGACTATACCACAACTGTTCGGCACTTCATGAGGAGTGGCGTCGCTGGAGTGATTGTGGCTGTTTGCACTTGAGCTTATGTTGAAGAAAGCCGCACCGCAAATTCTGTGTGTTGATATGCAATTCGTTGATGGCACAAGTGCACAAGATGTTGCAGACTTGCAAATGGAATGTAGCCTGCTCCAGTTTTGACCAATAGGCCCTAGGAACTTGATCTATCTGAGGCATTGTTGTCTTCATTCTATTTGCCAATTTGGCATTGCTCAACTTGCTGACAGCGATCATGGTTGATGCAATTGTTGACATACTGCTGCTCGGCGCGGCCTTTGTGAATCCCAAACTGTATATATATAGTTATATATAGCGTGAGCCCATATCTATATATAAATATTTACATATATATATATTTAGGGGGGTTCTGTCCTACTACCTGTAACAGTCAGTATGAACAAGGCCTTTACTGACCATCATCATCCCCTGTTACTGCTCCTGCGATACTGATAGACCCAATGTGTTTATACATATACTGTATATGTTTGTGTTTTGCAGTATATCATAGTAGATCTATCACGACGCAAATTATTTATACATGTATGTATATTACAAAGAACTCTTAGACATATATATATATATACATACACATGTATTTACGACGCTGGACACTGATGGATACGGATGGGCGGCGGATGGGACAAGCCAATCAGAAACACACATATATAATTACATACAAGAAAATCGTGAGCAAATAATGTCCATTTGTATAGACACATTTCACATTTTAGTAACATCTTGACTTATTGCCTTGCAGCCTTGCATTTGACTGTTTGTTTGTTGAATGTACAGTATGCGTGACAACGAGCGTCAGATTCTGAATGTGTTGGATGCCTGCACTTTTACAGCACAGGCCCAAGAAGAGAGTCTTGACTGCAAGAGGTGTTTAGGTTAATTTCCGCATTTCGTTGAAGGGGTTCCAACAAGATTGCACGAGTATATATTTGGCAGGATCTGAGCTGCTGACGAGGGAGAAAGCAACACTGGTGAAGAAGTTGAAAGTGCTGTTTCGGAAGATGGTTGCTTGCTTCAACATGCTTCAACTGTATTTATGTATTTATACTTATTGCTTCCAATCTTGGGGAGAGAGGACACATAGGTCACATGCTTAAAACATGTGTCGTTGTGGTGCGGCTTAGGATGAACCTGTCAGCAAAAGAGTGAGCTGCGCTGAATTCAAAAAGAATATGGACCAGCATGTGGAGGATGAACTTGGCAAGCTACAGCCTCTTGGCACTTGCATAGTCTGGAGAAACACGCAGAAGAAAGATTTGGCATATTGCGCTAGCATGTGCTAGCCGAATTTTTTGCGCGGTGCTTTGAAGTGGCAAGGGTGTCTAAGCCGGCTCCCCGTTCAGACTAAGAGGTTACATGAGGTTACAGTAGGTTACACATGTCAGGGCAAAGGTAAATTTGGTAAATTCGGTAAATTCGCTGCATTGGTAGACTTCCTGACTCTGCACATCGGACATTCGGTAAAATCGGTAAATTGGTAATTTACAGTTTTTACCCTTTTCACCGCCGCTGTGGATCAAAAACAGGAAAGGCATAAAACAGCCACACAACAGAGCAGCATGCATATGTAATGTAATTATAGAATCAAGCCTGCAGAGCATTGTGCCAGCAAACAGAACAGAGCAGCATGCATGCACATGTCCTTTGTAATCAAGCCTGTGTGCAAAACGATGCAAACAAGGAAACAGAGTCTTTTACAAATTTGTTTGTTACCATGTTTGACCTTTGGAAAATCAGTATGATTTACTTTTTTATCCGTTTTGCTCCTGGCTTCTGCCATCTCCGGATTTTATCATTTGACCGTTTTACCTTTTACCCCATGCTTCACGCTTCTGTGTTCTCGAGATTTTGCCGTTTTACCCCGAGCTTGTGTGCGCTCGACATTTTACCGTTTTACCGTTTTACCGAGCGCCTTTGCAACGGAATCTCCGCAACCCAAAACCACACCGCAAACCAGCACAGCTTCGTGTGTTCACTTATTGTTTGGTCATGCATGGGTTGGAAGATCAGTATGAACTTTCGAGTCGAAAGGATCGCAAGCTCCGACCTCAACGAACTCTTCAAACTAATTGACTTCACAGGTGCTGGCAACCTGACTTGGTGAGGGCGTAGTGGGCACTTCAAGTGGACTTCTGGATGTCTATGAGTCAATGTGTCAATGAGTGTTAAATTTGTTGAATGATTGGCTTTACGAATTGAAACTTCAATTAACTATTACTCAGCGTTTTCCATGCTGAGGAGCCCTGTCGGAGGAGGAGTTCATCGACGGTTTGATGCGTATGAGCCCATCCCCTGCAAGCAAACGAGAACTGCTGGAAGTACAGCATGACCTGCACAGGATGTGGCCGCTCAGGCTTCAATCACCTTTTGGGGAGAGACTTGCTGGACTGGACTGCCCATTTTTCTTAGTCAAGCTGCATTGCAAGAAGCATGTTTTCAACTCCAACCCATCCAGTCAGCGTGCAGTAGTATTTTCACTGAGCTCGTCACCTGGGACCTCTTTGGAGTGAACTAAACTCAGTGCTAGTAGACGTTGCGTCATAAAGAATTTTGAAATGTAGTTAGTTTCCCACTTTGTTCCACTTTTGCCTTCCTGTCTTTTTCATGCTGCCGGTCTCAATTTCCATTTGACATGCCCAATACTGAGGAACATGCTCTCAGTTGGCCAAGAGAGACTGCGGGACACCAATCGTTTGAACCAGGGTTCCCTCATGTTAATGTTAATGGCTGTGTTGGACACAATATAGAAACCAGTGGTGAATTCATTGTTCATTGATGTGGTGCTCCATGTTCGAAATCTCTTGTGTTGTGCATACACCCGGGCCAGGAGCAGCTGAACGAACTAAATGGTATTGTCAAGGAATTCCCGTTGCAGCTGTCAACCTTTATGGACGAGGTACGCCCTACACCTTGGCCTTTGATTGTTTATGTATATGTAATCTATACTTATAGAATATATAGTAACATAAAGTATTTTTCCTTACCTAAAATTAGCATTGATGAGCAGTTTGTTAGTTTCAGTGATGCCTTCTTGCTACTTGGCTTGGCTTGACCGGCTTGGCCTTGACGGCCACTCTTTAGGACTGTGGTCCTACACTGCATTCATGGGCTAAAAATAGCCAAAACATAAAATGCCTTTCACGACTGTATTGCTGCAAGCATTTCTTGTGCTAGCTAGCATGTTCTTTAGAGTCCTCCAGGTGAAGGAGATGCATGAGAAGACTTTCGAAGCTTGTGTGTCCGAGCGGGATGCTTCAGCTCAGCTGCCTGGAGTTCACTTGCGGATTGTACTGCAGCTTTGATTCTGTCATGTCAAACTGAACTTCAGAGAAACACTTTGATTGCTGCCATATATAGTGGCTATGTGCAGCCAAGGAGATTGACGCAACAATTTGAAACCATGTGCTCCAAATTGCCACATTTGCAGGCCAGTAGTTTTGGGTTAGGGCTGAGCAGTTGGGGGTTAAGGCCACTGTGGTGCAAGGAGAGGGATCGGCATTGATGTTGTTTTGGCACTGACTTTATAGCCTTCGCCCTCCTTCGCCTCGAGAAGAAAGCCACAGGAATACAAACCTGACGAGCATGTCCAGACTCAGCTAAAGGAGGCCGTGTGCTGCAACGTGCAGTCTTTCCCCGTTTTTCCCATGCTGAATTTCAACACTTCCTGTTTTTCGAGTCACCCCCTGCAGATGCAGCAAAGCCTGGCTGAACTGAGCACCAGTCGTCTGCACATTTCGGAGCAGCTGGCACCTTGGCAGTGGATCTCCAACAGATTGTGCAGGCAGTGGAATTTCTACTCTCTTCTCCCTCCCTTGCCGACTTGCCTTCTTTGTTCCTTCTTGAATTGGCTTCAGCATGCTCCTCTTCGTTCTCCTTCCTCGCCATCCTCTCTATGTTCCCATCCTTGCCCTCTTCCTCCTTCTCCTCCTCCTTCCTCCCCATCACAGGACCCGGCCAAGAGGCCCGCTAGGTGCCTTACTCTTCCTCTTCTTCTCCTCTCTTGCGTTTTGCTTGCGCTATCTGTCTCTCTCTCTCTCTCTATGATCTCCATTGGCACAAACGAGCAAGTACGGGAATGTCATGGAATGTCACATGTGGCCGTTCAGAACTTTTGCCAGAATCCCTTTCCTAGAAGTTGAGAACACTTGGGGAACTGGCATGCAAGGTACAGGTTCTTGAAGAAATCCAAGCGAACCTTAGCTGCAAAGAAAGGGGTAAAGATTGACCAGGATTCCTAGCACAAGCACTCCTTTGAAAATACTCATTTGGCTTTAAAGCCAAGGCAGCAGTCGGCTATTGTTGCAACTACGCAGCCATCTTTGCTGTCCACCTTTGAAGCTCCGATTCAGGCCATTGAATCGGGCCCATGAGTATATCTCCTCAGTGCCTTGATGTGCCTCATTACCTTCTGCGTGTGGGCAGGCCGAGACCGAGAAGGAGACGCCAGAGACTGGGATTGTCACCAAGGTGAGCCTTGGCAGCCTTGACAGAAAGGCCGTGCCTTCCAGATGTTGAAGAAAATAATGTCCAGACACATTGCCATTCCAACTATATCAATGACCCACTGCATTGGTTGCTGAGGAACCAACAGACTCAAACTACTCCGTCTGGTGGTGCCGAGTCTCGCGGCTACCAAGCTCAAATCTCCACTCAGTCCCCTCAGGTGCCTGGTTTGTGCGCATGTGTGATGCTGTTTTTGAACTTCAAGCATTTCAACTTCGACTCATGATTTGATGAAATCACCGGAGCATTTCCATTTTCATCCTCAAAGAGGCCATCGCTAGTAGGTTGGAGGCCAAGATTCTAAGATCATCTATGATCTGGCTTCTGCTTTGCCCGCGCAGGCCCCATTTGCGCCCCTCAGTCTGCCCATGGTCCCGCCAGGGTTTGCGAGCTTCCCATCCAACGCATGGCCGTTTGACTCTGAGCGGAGTTTGTTTCAGCGGAGTTCGGTGATGGTTCTTACTTATTTTGTTGAAAGGCCACACGGGGACTTGCATTCTTTCAGTCGGCAGGGTGGTCCCCTACACTGGGCAGCTGCAGGCAGCATTGCAGGAGCAAGGGGCGGCTTTCAACGTGAGAAGTATGAAGAAGCTGTGGACCTGGCAGCGTCAGGAGATGAAATGGGCTTATCCAGATTTGGTCGGACCTCCTTCACCTTATGCTGATGAGAGAGTTGCTCGGCAAAGTTCTAAAAGAGAAGGCCGCAAGGTGGAGAAAGAAAGATAGGACAACTCACCCTGACCCTTTATGATGGACCTACCAGTTCCCGAAACTCGTCAGAGATTTTCCTGCAATTTCCCACAAGACGAGCAATGACTAAGAACGGCCTTCATCCCGCAGGTTCGTGTGGTCAAAGTACTACACTGGCTCCAAGCCCAACGCTGGCAACATTTGCCATTTGACAGGCTCATTTTGCATCTTTGCCGCACCGTTTGTTAAACTCTGCAATTTGCCGCTTGTGAATGTGGAGCACAATTGCTTATCATAGGCCCTTAGGTGTGCGATGTAATTTCTGGGGGAACTTGAGGTGTTTCAACTCAGCATTGGCCCAAGGAGACTAGAGGGTGCTGGTATACAGCTAAGTGAGGAGGAGCAAGACTTGCTGAAGTGCTACCTGGCACAGAGCACCTGGGGGGGTTCTGCTCTTTTGGCTTTACAGCAGCTTTCCCTAAGTATGGCATAAGGGATGGATATGTCGGGCCCTGCACTACCTTGTTCATCGCCACAATGCATGCATGATCATGCATGATATGAGTGGGTGTTGTTGCCAGGATCAACGAGGACCCATGTTCATGATTATATATGATTAGGCCAGGACGCTACTGTACTAGGAGCAAAGGGCATCGCTACTGGGAGCAAGGACGCTACTAGTAGCTCCTTGCCTTACTACGCGATATACTATGCAAAAAAACTTGAAGACCCTTACGACGCATAAGACTTGCGCTTCCGCCGTAGTTGGGTGCTGCTAGTTCACTGCTGAGGTTGGTTGACGCACGGACCATCTGGGCAACCACACGAAGAGATGGTTTGGTGATGCAGCCTTTTGTAGACTTGAGGTCTTCCAAAGAGGGGGATGAATCAAGTGATACAATATTGTACAAAGTCTCTTGGCCTGTTCCAACGTGCTGCAGCGGGCAGCTTTTGCAGCTTGTGACTGCTGCAGAGACACGGGCTCCAGCTAATGTACAGCGCACCCAATTGCTTGCCAAAGATTTGCTCAAGGCAATTGCAAGTACCGCGTTGAGAAATGAATAGAGACGGAGAGATTTCTGAAGTGTCGGAGTCGGAGGTTTGCTTAAAGATTGATCATCAGATATCATCAGGACCTATGGTTGTGGCCGGGGTGTGTATTTGTGTGTGGCTGCAAGACTGAAAGCGACGTTGAATGAGCAAAGTCCTTTTAGGCCTGGATAACCCAGCTGATGGAAGTAGAGGGGAGGCAGCGGCACCGCATATGTATAAAGTATATACTTACATAATGTATACAGTTGTTTGTATATATACATATTGTGTATGTACACGTATGTTTGCGCAGTTACACATGTTGTTTAAGTGACAGGCTGTGGCAGCAACACTGGCGGGAGTTGGATGCTCAAAGTGAAACTGGCTGCATGCGCGATCTGATGGAGGGAGGGAATGAGGCATTGGGCAGAGGGCTTAGTGGCTAGATATGCAAGGCTTACATTTGCGCAACTCGAAAGTGGGTGCTGGCTGGGGACTGAGAGCTTTGAGGCATTCCGGGAAAATGGACTGCAACCTTTCGGGTATATTTGCCGAAGTCTTCGGCAGAACTTACCGCTTTCAGGTGGTAACCTTCGATGCTGGCAGGGGCCCAAGTCCAAAAAAGTGGCATGGCGGCTGTGTGATATGTCGCACATGTTGAAGCTGCCTATCGACCTGCATCAACAACACAGTCTCCCGACTACTCTTTTGTCAGGCATGGACGCTTCATTTACACTCAAGGTTCGTCCAGTTTGGACACACACTTGCCCGAACTTCTTTGCTTTGTTCTTTGTTTGCAGGTATGCACGGGCGTGGCAGAGCATTTGGTAGCGGAAGGGCAATGATATGCCTTCTTCTAGCGGCGAGCAGAGGGTGTGTCCTACTGCGGCAAGACCAAATGCAATTGCTGTCAGAATTTGCCACTGGGTGCATGCAGTGCAGAACAAGAATCAAGCGCTTGACACCTCAATGTCGCAAGTTGCATCCACAGAGTTTTGCCATAGTTGACCATGTTGACCTGCCGTGGATATTATACTGTAAGCTTGCACAGTGTAGTTGAAACTAAAAGCCTGAAGCGAGCACAACTCCGATCACAACCCAGTTCCCCAAGCAGCCCAGATTGGAGAGAGCATTTTGGATGTGGATAGCGTGAAAGAACGTTAGAGATCTAAAACTCCACTCCAATTGTTTGACCATTCGTAGAGATTAGTGTCCCCTGGCTCCATGGAGTTTCGAGGATGCGGCGAGGCATGACCATTGTCAACGAATTCTTTGTAACACGCCTTTAACTTATTTTAGGATATGTTCGGCTTGACTGGAACCTACACGTATTGTACAGTAGAACTCTTTGCTACTCAAATCTCTTCATATCTCTTCATAAACTTGTTTGAGGATATGATTCTGCAGGTGGCGCGGTCCTCGCCACCTTGCCCTATGCTGTGGCCTTCACCTGCTACCCAGAGTGCGCAATTTTACAAACCTAGATGCGACCTTGAGCAAGCAACATTCGCATGTTTTGCCTTGAAAAAGTCAGCAACATTTTGCCCCAACCGGCAAGTCATTCTCAGGCCTCATGATGGCCATGAGCTCCAACGTCCCCAACACACTCTGCACTGGGATCTAACAAGAAAAAATCAAAAGTCATCCAAGTAGCTTGAGGACCGTCGTCCTTGCACTTGGAGGTACTCTTTCTCATGGTGCGACAACACTTCAGAGGCGTACTTGGATGGTCAGAATGCATTACCCAAGTGCATCACGCGTTTCTCTTTGGCATGCCCTCAGGCATCCTGTATCCACAACTATGCCTTCTCTGCCAAATGCTTGGACAGTTCCAGGACCTGCTCTTTAAACTGGAGGGCTTGCAGATCAGCAAGGCTGGAATTCGCAATCAACCGTAGCTGCATGTAAGGTCGGGCACTTCCAAAGGCTCGCCTCAACAATCTAGTGCAGCTTTCGTCACAGCACATGGCTGCATGGCTCTTAACGAACACTGTGGCGTCAGGAAGCTGACAGCGTATTACACACAGAATCTTCGGCCACCGCTGACTGAAGCTGTTTTCCTCACGCGTTTACCCAGGCGCTCAGGATTTTGACATTCGGAAGCAGTGGCCTGCCAACGATGGGAGTTGAAATGGGTTGTGGTTGTGGTCGTTTAAATAGGACGTGATCAGACTCACGTCGACGTGACCCAAGCTGGGCATTGCTGTCGTAGCTATATGGAGCCGTTCAATTTGAGCTTTGTGCAGGCCTTACCAGTTGGAGTTTGTGCAGGGTGGATGTGCTGCACCAGTCTTGGCATATCCGTTGCTTGGGCCGCTTGGGGGCATTCCCAGAACTACTAGTAAGCTTGCAACTGAGTGCCGCGGCATCGTAGCCAATGATGACTCTGAGATAGCTTGCATTGATTTTCAGCTGGGCTTGTCAGCCCGTCAGCAGCACGTTTTAAGATTGACTACTTTCACTTCGAACTGCTACTTTGTCTAAATGCATGCATGGATGTTGTACCAATGGGCAGGACAAGTTGGAAGTGTTACTGCAATGCGAGCAACTTATATACCGTGTGATTCTGTTGGCCTTAACGAGACATAGTAATTTTTTAGTAACGCGCACACACACAAACATAGCCCAATGGCCCAAGAACTGCTATGGCGACGGGGGGCTTTCCATGGCAAAAGCAGCTTTTGCAGTGCTGGGTGCTGTGGCTGCACAGTCCTTAGACCTAGACTGCCCAGGACCATGGATAGAGTTTCGAGGCAAACTCTACCAAGCGGCCAATCCGAACATCCGACACTTTGCCATTGCTTCTCAGGAAGTGCTGTCTTTGGCAGGCAAGTTTCAAGCGGAAAGGCCCAGCACTTCGAGTGGAGATTGTCCTTTAGGAGAAGCTGCTCTTCGCATTATCGAGTCCCTCCAGATCGGCGAAGGAGTGGAGGCTGTGACGATAGCTTCGGACTTTGAGTTGCTGGAAGCCTTGGGCTGGAGTGCCTTGGTGAGATCTGGTTGGCCCATCTTCCAACTCTTGTACTTGCTTCACAAGCACGCAAAGCCGCAGCACCCGAGAGACCCAAGCAGCACTTGCTTCCAGATGGACAACTATGCCAGAACGTTGCAACGGGCTCTTCAGCACCAGCCAAAGCCTGGGGACGTAGGCTTGACAGCCTCAAGCTGGTCCTTTCTCTCACGAAAGATCGCAGCGTCGTGCTCTTCCCTTGCCTCAGCTGCGATCGTTGCGATCGCTTGGGCAAGACTTCCCGTCTATGACATTGAAACCGAAGGTCTGCTGTATCAGGCTCAGCAGCTGACATTTTTGGCAGATTTAGCCTTTGCCCATGCCGATCATCCATTACCCTTAGTTGTTGCACGCTTCGCCGCTGCTCAGCAGTTGTCTGTCCATTTCATAGAGTCTGACGACGAGGACTGTGAAGGGAGTTCTCCCTCTCTTAGATTCTTCTTAGACGGTTTTTTTCTTAAGTTGCCCAAAAATAATCTAGGAACCAAATCATTAGTGTGTGTGAGCGCTTCTTCAAGGAAACTCCCCGAAGAAGCGTGAGCTATCCTGCGTCCATGCTAGTAGCTCAAGTAGCTAGTAGCCACCTCTCTTCTACTAGCTACCCTACCTACCTCGGCCTACCCCCCCGGGCAAAAAAAGACAAAGTCCTTTTAGGATTGACATGGATTGACATGAGACCTCTTAACGTCAGGAACGTTCTGCTGACTGCGTCGTGCGCTTTGCTGGAACTCCTTCTGGTAGCTGCAACTTCTTCGCGCCCATATGGCAGGCAGAGACACGCGCACTTCCAGGGACACGATATGTCACACAGACGGACTGCGGCCATATCACTCAGCATACATTCTCAACATTTTCTATAATTTAGTTAGTAGACTGGCAGGGTGCAAAGTCGAATGGCTGAAAGGTTTATATATACAATGTATAACAGTTTTAACGTGCTCCCCACTTGATTTTGCAGAGCTGCCAATTGGTTGTGCCTGTGGGTGCTAGCCCTGTCAGGGTCTGAGGCCATGGCAATCTCGTGGGGTTTATTTGGAGGAGATTGGGCCGACTGCGGCCAGCTGTAGACACTGTTGAGCTCCAGGACCAGGTCCGGGCATTCCGGCCCACCACGGATCAAAAGACTGCCGGGATCATAGCCACCTGCTCTTCCATAGTTACACTGACAGAGGCTCCCTTTCCTGTTCAGGTACTGTTCCGCCTAATTGGAGATGAGCTGGTGCAGGCGCAGCTGTGACATGAATCATATGTTGCCAATTTGATTGATGATTTTTCTTACGCTTGCTCTCTTTCGGGCTTCCAACTGAGAGAGCTGCTGCTAGTCATGCACAATTTCTGGCAGCAGGGCTCAAGGCTTTTGGCCCAAACGGCCATGAAAGTCATTGTCACCCATCCATCACAGGTGAGACCCGTCAACCTGAGCCACTTGGCCTATCAAGAGTGGAGAATCGCGTGGCTTAGTCCGTAAGATTGAAATACAATGTGAGCGTATAAGGATGGACCTTACCTCCAGAGAGGAAGATTTCGCCAGCTGCACACTTGGCACATGCAAGTGGACGGTTCACAGCTGTCACAGGCCCGGTGGTTTTGTGTGCAATTTTCGGTAAGCATCCAACAAGTGTTCCAACTTCCAACTTGAACTGGGGTGAAAGATGGCGAAGTGACAAATGGCCATACTGCCAGATGCCCATAGACGATGTTACAGATCACGAATATTATAGAATTACTGTATTATTACCAGAACCTTTTGCAACTTCCATAGCTGTAACTTCAATAGAGATATGACGGAAGGCCTCACTGCAATTTTGCATCGCTGTGCCACCAAGACGAAGGCTTGGCAAGTCGACAAAGCAATGCGTCATCCTAAATGAGGATTTGTTCCGTTTACAGATTCTAGTTGCGCAGCTGTGTCATGTTACCCCAAGACTCATGGCTCTGAGAACGACATTTGGCAGGCAGCGGCAGCTGGAAGACAGAAAGCTCCAAAAGTAGGGTTTCACGATGTTGAGCCTCAGCAGCATACGTGCCGTTCTATTGACATGTGAAGCCACCCCCGGGTTTCTCACTTGCTGTAGCAGCAAGTCATCTCAACAAGTATGAACAAATACATTATATATACATAGTTAGTTGGATTGACCATAGTGGCCAAGACCGACGCACCCTTCCCCTGCCTTCAGATGTTTGATGCCGATTTTGGGTCTGTGGGACGTGGGGGCATTGTCACATAGAGCGTCATAGAGCTGATTATACAATTGTTTCCTGTAATGCGAGCCATTGTTTGCATATATAGTGACATAGTGCTTGCGTGCTCGAGGAGTTCCAGATGCTGCACGAGTACTTGCAAGACCTCTCGAAACATGAGCTTGAAGAGGTTGCAAGAACGGCCAACATCGATCTTTCGAGGAGCAAGACCAAAAAACAAATCGTTTTGAGGCGTGCGGGTCGCGCACCAAAACCTAGCAGACTGGGCACCCAGAAACTGGTTGCAAAGAAGTCTTTCAAGATCACTGGTGAGGCTCCTCGAGCCACAAGACATTGAGATGGTCCGGAATGTTGTTGCCCCGAAAGATCTTCCACCAGATCCTCTCAGAATCCCAGATGCACTTGTCAATGTCTACTTGACTTCTTCTTGCAGTCTTAGCACAGAATAGGAAGAGCGTTTTGGAACGCATAATTAGGCATACGGACGCTTTGTGAGTGCAAGGTTCAGATCTCCTGCGGAAAGTGCAACTTCACATGGTGCCTTAGCTGCAAGCATCTGCAAGCAGTGGCAGTTCCAAACACCCAATTTGCTTTCCAAATGGAGGGGCGTATCTATCGCGACGATTGCTCAGGATGAAGCTGCCATATTTCGACCTCAAGGAACTCGTCGGAGGCCATTGGTCAAAGCACAGATGGGCAAGGAAGAAGCTGACCCTTTAGATGCGCCCTTGCAGTCACTAAGCAGAAGCGGCGAGACAGAGGCAGACTCTCGCGACGTACGTGTATAGGATACCTTTACAATCCTT